TAGTCTAACATGAGTCAAAGATACAGTCACGTGTCTAAAGTCTTGTAAAACGATAGGGGAAACCCAAAAACGATACCCCTTGTCAAGGGCCCGCTTCCAGGAACAATAATATTGATACTGCCTCACATAGCATCTTGCCTTTGCTAGTACAAGTATCGAATCTGAGACAAAGGCATTGTCACATGAAGCGTCGCGTGCCTGCCCGCATGACGGCAGCTCTCCGTCTTTGCGTCTTTCGATACTGAGGCTCCTTATAAGCTCGCACATCAGCTCGCTGTCATCTTTTACATCATGCAGTGCCAAGGCCTTCTGTAACTATGCGCAGAATCCCGGCTGCGGTGGATCCGCCACTGGTGGTGTGGTGACCTTCTCCAATCTGCGGCATGCCTGGGGTGCCACGGCACAATTGCCCAAAATGGTGGTGACCGCAAGGGCAGTGATGGGCTCTCAGCCCTGTTGCCACGTGAGCATCAGCATTCGGGTCTTCAAGATGCAACAACATCGACACGTAGGATCAATAGCTGGCAGGTCTGAGTCAGTCAGGCGATAATTGTGGGCTTCGAGCCGTGATGAGCCATGTCAATGTACTAACTACGTCAGGCTCTGAAACCATGTATGGCACGGCTCAGGGCTGCAGATGGCTTGTGCGCAAGGCATTAGGCGCCAGTGATCAACATTGTCTTTGCTGTTCAGCGACATTAATACATGCCGCACGAGGTTGCCCTGTGAAGCCCGTGCTATCCATCCCACGCTCGTATGTTCGCGACTTGGTGTCTTGGCGGCATCTTCGACATCTCTTCAGCTGGGAATTCACAGCCCTAATTTTGGGATGTTTTTGTGGGAGGGGGGTTGCTCCATTCGCTCCGCTCAGGATGACTTGCGTGCCAAGCCAGGCCTGCCGAGTTGCTTTGTGCCGGGGATGTCGAGTTTGTCTAGTTTCATGACCTTGATGTGTAGCCGCAGCCGGTGTGGGACAAGTTGTCACAAATCACTCCACTTAAGCAGACTGACTTCCGGGATCTTTTGGGCCAGCTTTCGTGGAGAGGCACCTACCAGACCCTAAAGCAGATGCTCCACAGTGGCTTTGATACTTATCGTGCACATGGACACAAAGGACCTGTGACTTCACAGCAACTAAGATGATAGTCTCCGGGCTTCCCCAAGGGCTCGACTCTCAGGTCCAGCAGTGCATCCATTTTTCTTGGGTCTGGAGCTGAGATGAGCTGAGCTGTAAAGGCAGTCCACCGCTGTCACAAAGGGATCTTGGAGCAAGAGTTTTGTTCTGAGGCGGTGAGTGTTCGCTGGGTACACCTCCACAGCTTTTGCACGGGAACCCGCTTTGATGGCATGCCAGGCCAGGGCTCTGGGATGCTTTGGGCTTGGGGTCTGGCGACGCCCGCAACTCGGGCCTCCAATTGGTCTCATAGCCGCCCGGCCCAGTCGGTGGTGGCGGTGGGTTTATGGTCTGGAACGGGAGAGACACTACCACGGTGCAGCCTGCACCAATTCATTCCAGGCTGCATGAAGGGCCCCGGCCACCCCGGCCACCCATTCCAGGCTGGTGAGAGTGGAGCGTGCCCTCTCGGACTCTCGGAATGCAGGTGGCTCATCTCTTTGTGCAACGATGTTCGACCACGGTGTGGCTTGGCACGGGGAGTCAGCTGTACCTGCTTGCAGTGCTTCGCAGTGCCAGACAGTTGGCTTGTCACATCGCTCACGTAGCCCCAGCTTGCACGCCCAGGATGCGCACAACATCGCATCGCATTGGGCGCGATAGAGCCATGGCATAGAATCGTATTTTCGACAGGTTCGTATGTCTTGACAAGCCAGAGCAACCCATGTATCCCAAACCCGGTCGCCTGTCTCACGAAGTTCCCAAGATCTCGCATGCTTTTTGCAAGGACTTGTGTTTCGCCATCAGCCATCACAAGCGGACATGCTAGTGGCAAATGGCCATGGTGTGTCCCGTGTAGGATGTGTTCCTGGGGTGAAATGGGAACCGCCTGTACAGAGTTCATTGATTGTGGACGGCCCACTGCCGAACTTCGATATGTTACTGCCAGAACATGTCAGAGTGGACAGAACGCAGGCATAAGCATCGAGCTCGCGTGGGCCTTTCCAGAATTCGGATTCAGTGTCTGGTCCTGTTGGAGTCGGGAGCCGAGCTTTTAGCCGATGGCCCAAAAGCCCAGAGCACTTTCAATTCGCCCGGAGCGGTCTTTGTTGGGAGTTTTTCCCGCATGCACGACACTCTCCGGAGCGGCACTGGCTCAGACAGGGACGAGGGCGGCATACGGGTGCTGGCCATAGCCCTTCGGAGCGTTGCATCGAGTCTTCCTGGGGCTCTGACAACTTTGCGAACATCGCAGAGGGCTCCTGAAAGGGCTGGAGACTCTGAGGGTGACAACGCAATTGCGCACTCCCAGACGAATTTCCTAAGCCTGTCATGCATGACCTATGGCGCAGCCATAGGAGAGTTGTTTTCCTGGTGAGATAGTACCCAGGATGTGTTTTGGGAGCTTTAGGGTATTTTTTGTGGCGAACGCCATCGCCGTCACAAGTCACAAATAATGGCGTGTACAAGCGCAACGAGCCTGTACCTACTGCCCTTTCGCGGGCCATCCTTAAGTGCTGGGGAACACCGGTGAGGTGTGTCGGACAGCGACGTCTGCACTCAGTCTTCAAAAAGAGTGCCTGTCATGAGTATCAGGTCACGGCCAAGAACGAGTTCATTGCCGAAGAAGAATGAAGAATAGACCACGCCGTGTAAAACGTGCATGTCCATTGCGCAGGATCACACGTTGACCATCTTGGCCTACGGTGCCGGACTGGTGGCGGCACTGCCGGCCAGGAACCCTGAGGGTCCTAAACCCTGAACACGGCGACTTTGTGTTTTGTGTTCGTGCCGATGCAGAGAACAAAACGGAGGGTCTTTCAGAGAGCCAGAGCTGCCAAGCTATTGGCTGGTCCGAACCATCAGCATCAAGAAGGAGGGCTTTGGAAGTTTCCAAGAGTGCTGGAGATCCGCATCCGGGCGAGATTTGGGAGAACCTTCAGCTGAGGTGTCGGCCGCCCTTGTTCGACGGCTTTTCTGTGGACGTGGAGGTGCCGGCCGCAGTTCAAGCGTGGCGGCGCTAGTTGTGGCGTCGTGATGGCCCGCAACAATGGTGTATTGTGGCATCCGGTAAGAAAATCCAACTTACTGAAACAGTGTCCAAGTCGTTATTTACTAGAGCAGGGCAGGCCAGCCTGAAGACTAAGCCTATGCAGAATGTCGAGTGCTTTCAACCTTTGGCAGGCTTCTCTGCAGCCTCGTAAGTTTGGCTGGGAGGGTTGGGTGTTTTTCCTCTTTGCATCCTCATGCGGCATTCATTGAAAGACCGTGCCACGGAGCCCGGTCTTGCTCGGTTTATCTGTCGAATTCCGAATTGTCCGAAGGGTGGGCAGCCAGAGAGGTCAGCGGCTCAACTTTCCTTGCAGCGATTCCACGCACCAAAGGTTTGCCAAACGCCTGCACCCGCGTAGCGAGGCTTCAGAGACAGAGCTCCTGGAGGAGCTTTCTGCTTTTGTGCTTTCTGGGTCTTCGGAGAGTCTTGGGGTCGTTTGAACACACGCAGAAGGAGGGGCGTCCAAGTAGGCCTGGCAGGCGGAAGAGCAGCTTGAGTGAATGAATGCCCGGCAGCGTAGTGATGTGCTTTCCGACTTTCCTGTGTGGACATCGAGTGCTTTGGGTACCAGACGGGTTGGGGCGTTCGATAGCCTGTCAGCATTTTTTTATGGGTATAGTGGTCTCTGTCTGTGTTTCCGTAGTTGCAGCCAGTCTCGCAAAGCAGTGCAAGGCTTGTGCAAGTTTCACCTCTACTGCAGAGGAGGGACAAGAGGTAAATTACGAGAGCTTATCAGCAATTGAAAGGCTTTCCTGTGGACTTCAGTGGGAGCTCTTGCGATAGATTTTGCCACCGACACTCCTCTCAGAATTACAAACGCCTGGTCTGCATTCGTCGGCGCCACTTGCAAAGCTCCGTCGACAGTAGCTCGAGGCACCCATGTGTCAGAAGCACCTGAGTGCTCTCCGGTAGGCCTCTAAAGCCACAATCAATGCTTCGCTCTCCTGCGAAGAAGACCCTTTTTGGCTGGCCTTTGCTGCTTCCAGACTTCATGCAGTCCGACAGTGCACCTAAATTGCTCGTCCGATTAAATCTTAGCATCAGAGTGGCTGGTCTTTTGAGAAATGTCCTCGCAGGGATGGCAAGCGAGTGGGCATTCCGTTCACTGCAAGATGTAGCCGCAAGATCGCGATGCAATGCACCCCGCCTCCGCGGTTTGCCGCAACCGCAGAGCCGGAAGAATCAGAACATCGCTTTTGGGGGTTGAAGGAAGGCGATCCACCCTTGAGATCTCCGGGACTAGTCAGCTCGCGGCATTCCGCCCAAAAGGCGCTGCAGACCCTGGATCCGGGCTGTGCTCCTTGACATGCCAGGTTCAGTTTGGCTTGGTTCCAGGATCCCACTGAATATCAGCTGTAGGTCGTCCCAACACGGGTTGGACTTGTAGCACATGTAGCTGATAATGCTGCATGTCCCGGCCCGGGCGCGAGAGAGACAGAAAAACTGCGGAAGTCCTACTCATAGATCTCACAGCTTAATTGAAGCATTAGCCAAAATTGCGATCTAAATCGATTCCTTAGATGCTGCAGGCCCCGGTCTGGCCTCGGATGTGCCGCCGTCGACGGCTGAGTGCCAACACGCATGGAGTGAGATACGGGAAGAGGCCCGAAATTCTTTGGCATGCCCAGAAAAAGACCTGGTAACAGTTCCTGAATCCGTGCTGAGGCCTCCTGTGCCGCCCGTTCTTTGCTCAGAGCCCTGGCTTCACAGCATTGAAGGGTGCCTCTCTGCCTCGACAGGCAGAGCTCTGTGTCGGCGTGATCCACCAGAATGCAGGAGGCCCAGCATTGAGGAGAAGTCAACGAAGCAAAGCTGTTCCCGGCAGGCAGATTTCAGTCCCGATACACTTCTAGTAACCTTTAAGTCTGTAGGGTATACTGAATGCCTTTATCCTCGCTGCTTCTTCCTGACAAACCGAGGTGTTCTATTTCGAAGGACGGCAGCGACGAAGAATTTACCAGGCCAGTGTATGTCCTGGTGTGTTTTATGCGTCTTCGGGCATACAGATGACCTGGCAATCGATGCTTACGGATGAAGGCGACTATGACTAAGCAGCAAGTGCTATGATTTCGCGAAGGCATGCATGATAACCCGGACACACCTGAACATGTTCAAAGCATGCAGAGCGACCACCTTAAAAGAACCGTCAGATGGTTGTAAACATCGACTTTACACCTAATATGTTGCGCTGGTGCTAAACAAGTCTCTGCAAGGACGTGGAACTCCATGCGCTCATCCTGACTCTTATCCTCACGCTTCTCCTCTCGCCGGGGTGGGCATCCCGGTATTCGGGGGGTGTACGATCCGGACCTTGGCAAGATTGCTGAGATACGCGCGGCTGCTGTTCGGCTTTTCCTATGTTGTGACTGTGGGAACCAAGGCGAGGCTTGCTGGATCCAAGTTACTCCGATCAGTACCCTACCCACCGGCGTGGCACTTGGCGGTATGAGCTGCCAACACCGTCTGGCGCAACCAACGCGGTCTGCCTTCCGATGCAGTCTTGGCCAAGGCATCGACGGAACATTCCCTTCCTCCTCAGCGCACACCTGAACCACAGTGCCAATAGGCTGTGGGCACACGAAGTCAGGTCAGCTTTGGTAAGCAAGTGTAAATGTGCGACGACATGCCTCTTTGTTGCGGCGGTTGGAGCAACTCTGCATCTTGATTTCTCCCAAATCTGTGCTTTGATTGTCTTCTCTCCCTCCCTCTCTCAGGGTCTTCTTGCTGTGCATGGCAAGGGTAAAAATTAGAAGACTGTGGCTTGTCATGATCGATCTCACAAGCTATTGTGTCAGAGATTCCTAAAAGCAATCGGATGATGACGGGTGCTGTTGCGGTGAAGGCATGGCTAGCCTCTTCCTCTAACTTACCGTATCTAGGGTCGGCATCGTCCTGGGTCACCACCTAGAGCAGATCGCCTCAAAAACTTCCGCCGCCAAAGAGCTTCAGCAAGACTTCGCTAGTGGGGTGCAGCCACTCGCCTTGGCGCGTTGTCGAAATCCTGGCGAAGGAGAAGGCCGGATGTCCGCCGACACAATCCCTCAGATTTCCTTCAGCTGAACTTCCCATATCCCAAATTGAGACCGCAAGGACACAGAGGGAAATCGGCTGCCGGCACAATGTATGGGCTTCGCAGTATCAATAACATGTACTCGGAGCATGCTGGGCAACGTCCGGGACTCAGCGTTCGGCGTTCTACAGCCTGACCACGGCATCAGGCAACGCGCTGCAGGATGTTATGTAATCGTGGATGCAAGTAGAAAGCTTTTCCCAAGCGCTCTAGGCAGTGATTTCATCATTGTCGGGCATCCCGAGTTCCAGCAGGGCAAGGCGCAGACCCTAGGAATCAGGAGATGTCAGGAATGTCTGCTTAGCCGTTATCTTTATGCTCGGTGCTGTCTGATGCTCTTTCGTGCTCGCCCCTTCGCCCTTGTGGTTTCGGGCAATGTGCGAATGTGTTTTCCTTTATTGCTCCTCGGCTTCCTTATGTGCACCTGGCTTATCATTATGCGTACATTCAACCTGGCTATTCCTCACCCTTTCCGCCCCACGACCCCCTCCGAGCTGAGCGAAGGAATGTGTTAACGACTCATGATATTTGGTTGAAGCCGTTGCCGATTTATAGGTCCAAAACAAGACGGAATATTTTGCATCGGAGCCTTGGCACTCGCTCTACCCTACATGTGTCGGTCAGGCTTCGCTTGCTATTCGGACAATGCCATGACTTCGTTCGCACTACAATGATGAGGCCTTGGTCTCATTGCCCCTGTCGTATTCTCAGGCTCCCAAAATGGTTTCTGTTTCCTTTGTTTTTGGGCGCATTTCCGTTGTTTGGCCAAGTTGATGATTGTGGCGCCCTCCCTCCCCGCGCCCCTCAGTCCCCCCAAAATGATGGATCTCCAAATGGCGGTCATCTGAAACCCGTGTTGGAGGGGCCTCTCCCAGAAGGGGAGACACCCACGGCATCCACATGCCCTTTTTTACCTATACCTCCACTCACCTCACACCAAAAAGGCACTTGCCAACGCCGAACGCTCCCTCCACTTCCTGGTAGGTGCGGAGCACAACGCGGACTTTCCCGGCTTGGGACATGAGGCAGCTGGTGTAAGGTAGGGATAGAGCAAGGCTGAGAAGCATGTCGCGCTTATCGTGTTGAGGAATCTGCCATGACCATTCAGCAGAGTGGCCAAGCCAGTGCTGGCCTGACATGCCTTGCCATGCTCGAAGCGGTGGCAGGCCACTTCCCAGCAAGCCGGGAAACAACTTGGCGAAGTCACGGCCGAGCGCCCAAGAAATCTCGACTTGGAGAGCCACCTCATGCTCGAAACAGAAACACAAGGCTGTTTGCCCTTCCTAAGACTCAGCCGAGCAGTGAGCTTTCCGCTATCAGCGGTTCACGTTGTTGGCACCCGCATGACCGCCTTTCTGCGGCCCAATTGGAAGAGATATCACTGAAATGATGCTCGGGTCAGAGAATTGCGTCGAACAACATCGGGCAGAACTGCGGAAGTGTTGGCATACGATGCCAAGAAAACTGCCCTTTCCTCAAGTGAGGTCGATACCAGCCCTGGTGCGACAGTTGAGCGCACGCACCCTAGAGCATCTTAGAGCAACGGCAATCTCATGCTTCGCTACTTTTTTCCCTGCAACTCTGCGCGATGTGCCGAGGACCCCGGTCCTGTGGGGAACCTGAAGGAACGTGCGTGGGAAGCTCAAGATAAGAACTTGTCAAAGATTCTGTGCTTGGTGGGAGTGGCAGTGCGCGGCTTTCTGTGGAATTGCCCTGCCTCGTTAAACACGTGACATAAGGAGCAACACAACGCAGACTTGCATTGAAACCCAAGATTTGAACAGTTCTGAGCCCACTGGCGATGGTGAGACTCCATGCCATGAGCATCACTTCCCGCGTCTCCCGCGCTGCGCAGAGGTTGCGGAAGAGCGGCTCCAGGCTTGAGGCATCGGCGCTTGGCATCGGCCGATTCGAGGAGTTCCCTGAAGTGCAAAGGTCCTTCCAGTCAGCCCTCGAGAGTCGGTGGCAAGCAGCTTCCGTGCCTTTGAGCAGGTGGGCCGAAGCTGCGCTGTAGACTATCTGTAGGCTGTATAGTCACTGCAATCCTGAGCTGTTTTAAGACATTCTCAAGAATGAGGCGCCGAATTTGCAGGTGGCGCCTGCCACTTCTAGACCTATATAGTAGCTTCAGGCAGTCGTCAGCATGGGCAAGCACGAAGAGGCCAGGAAATGCTGTGCCGCTGCTACTTTGATCCCTCGGCATGAACTTTGCTGAAGCAGCTGCAACTTTAAAGTTAGTCATTAGTCGTCTGCAGTTGTCTCTTATGCCAAGGCGGCAAAATTTTGCCGCGAGCAGCGCATGCGAACTGCTGCAAGCAGCTGCCCAAGTCTTCCAGGGCAAGGGCTCAGCCGTGCAGTGACTTCATTTCGCGGGCGTGAGGGCAAGAGACCGGTGGATCTGCCCGGACAGTCGGGATTCAATGGTACTCAGTTTTCTGCAACGGTCAGATCCTTGCCCGACGAGGTTTCGCTTGCGCGAAAGGGCATTCGGCAACGTGGGGGAGCCCATGTTGTTTGTCGTTGTCTTGAATATAGCTGGTTGCAGAAGAGAAACGAATGGAAGCTTTGAAATCAGCATAATACAGTGATGCGGTTCTAACCGAAACCTAAGCAAAGGGAAGCTGCAGAGCTTGTTCAGCCGGTGCCGAAATGCAGCCTTTTGTCGTGTCCAAGCTCATGGCCAGGTGCCGCAACTTCGCGACGCTTCACAGAGAGGTGAACGATATCCGAGAGCGCCTCGAGGTAGGTCGTTCGCTCAAATGACAAACTTTCTAGGACTTCAGCGTATGCAGTGCAACACCAACAATGACTGGTACATGGTGCGCCATGCAACACCCCCTTCGCGAACACTACAGTTACTACAACCACTGCAAGCAATGTGAGTACTAAGTAGTCATCTGACCCGAACTGCCCGCCTCATGCACACATCCAAAAGAGAACGGGATTCCATAATCTACTCAAGCAAGGACTGTGTAGCCCAACACCGACAGACCGGAAAGGCCCGACAGGGCCGGGCAGGGAAGGTTCCCGAATATGCCTCAGGATCCATCAGCCCGTGAGCGGATAATGGCGTCCGGAACCTGGCACAGAAAACCCATAAAGAATCCCTTTAACTTTAAGACAATTTGTCTTGGCGTTTCCGTGGTTTGCCCGAAGTCTCATGGCTGCAGCATGCTGCAGCTCCAGGTTGATAGCTCGTTTGTGTACTCAGGCAGGACGAAAGATGACGAAAGTTTGACCCAGTTACTTCAAGTTGAGGGCCTTTCCCGTCCCTGGAGGCTCCCGAGACTCTGGAATTGAACCACGTCACTACAAAATAACACAACTTCACAGTTCAATGCGGGATACAAAACACTGTAGACCAGGGCATGTAATTTGACATTCTTGTCTGTCCGGTAGCTTCTGGCTTCACCGAGTAGCTGGATGCAGTGCGGGGATACATGAACCTCATCTCTGCTTAGACTTGACTCCGCCTAGGCCTAGGCGGCCTAGGGCCTAGACTCCTGGACGCCTCCGCAGGATGGACATCTTGCGGCAAGAAACACCCTTTCATTTACCTGTGGGCCAAGGTCGGATGCGTGGAAGTACTACGCACAGCACCTGGAACAGGCTTCTATGGGCGACTTGTGCGGTGTGGGCTTTGCGTTGCAGATCATAGAGTTGCAAAGCTTGCAAAGTGCGTTTATGAGAGCTTAATGATTATCGTTTCTGGGTTTCGCTCGTTTCTTTTTAAGGCTGCTGACTTCTTTGGAAAGCCGATCCCGATCCTATCCCAGCATCTTAAGTTGTGTGATGAGCTTGCAGTCCTACTCGGATCTTCTGTGTTACGAGCATGTCGTGAGTCTCAGCATCTGCGCAATGCCGAAGCACAACTATTCCGCCAAAGACAACATCAAAACACCCGGTGTTGATCATCACAAGCTTAAGCATAGGCTGCATGTGAGCTGTTTCATCATACTTACGACGTCCACCTTGCGCTTGATGCTGCTTGCAGACTGCAATGCACTCCCCGACCGCCGCATTGCACCAAAATCGGCAAGTGATTTCCTGCGAGGCCAAGCAGCTGGAAGCCCGACTAAGGCCGCAAGGGGGTTCCGAGAGTCCGAGGGGATGTTGGGTAATGCTGGGCCTGGCGACTCCGAGCGCCACGAGGCATTGGCATTGCTTGTTAGCATCATTTTGCATCCCCATTACAGCGTTCGAGCTCACAGTCGGTTCCTGGTCATCAACCCCGGAGTCTAGATGAGTAGCCACACAGTTTTGTCTGACATGAGTTGCTTGACCCGGCGATCTGCGCTCTCCTGTTGTTCGTACACTACACGCGCACGCACATGCAGGCGCCAGCGCAAGAACATGGAGCCAAACGTCGGGGCCCAAGCATGTCTTGCTCAAGATGTGCCCTCTCAGACCCTCGCAGTGTGCGCAGAGGGAGGGAGAGCCAAGCGTAAATCCGTTCCTTCTACCACACTTCCGGCTTCCATCTGCTTCCCCCTCCCGCATGATCAGGTGCAAGCCTTGCACGACTCCGCCACGGCCAAGTCTAAGTGAAAGCTCCAACAGATTCATTGAGGGTAGGATAGGTCCTAGGTCCTTAGAGTACAGACCTCCATCCATTTGATTACCACCTGGCATATGAAACGTTACTTGTAATGAAATGAAACCGACTGGCTGTCACCGGTGCACCTGCAGCAATCGGTCTGCCAAAGCGGCAGATGCCCCCTGAGCCCATGCGTATCCTTGAGCCATGACACCATGATGGGAGTACGAGTACCACTATGTACCTCTGAAATGAAGGAACAGCGGGCCATCTTCAGAATGGAAGTCCAGTGCCGCAACACAAGATTTGTGCCGCTCCCAGTTCGAACTAACTGTATAAACTTCGTCTCAGAATCCTTTCACAAGATTGCCGTCATGTTTGGAAAAGACCGTGAATGACTCGCAGATGGGTGTGAGGGAACTCCAAAGGAGATCTCTAACGCCCTTGAGGCTTCAAAGCCCGGTATCCCGCTTTCGAAGACAGGCGGAAAAAGGAGCGATTCGAGGGTGCAGGTCCAATGCCTCTCAGTCTCACTGCAATGCACAAACATTGAACAACCTTATGGCCTCACGGGTGCCGAGGCAAAATTGGGCATAGCGCAGCGAGCAAAGACTACAATCGATTTGAAGATAGCATTGAAGAGCATTCGGAATGACGTGGGGTTAGGAGTAGAAGCGCTTTTGACGCCACTGCAGCTTGCAATCTGGCCAGGAGTGTCCTGCCGTGGGTCTTCCAGCAGGTGGGGCTGTGAAACATCGTTTGGAGTGTGATCAGTTGTTATTGTTCGTTGTCGGCATCACGGTCGAACTGACGGGTTCAAAGCGAGACAGACCAAACAAATCGGTTCTGCGCACCATGGCGCTAACTTACAGCAATCTTGACGTGCAGATGGCCACGAAACTGCGGCTCGAGCCACGATGCGAGAATCTGAAGCGAGCCTGCACAACGCTTCATGCCTCGTAAAGAGTCAAGCCAATGCCCAAGCCACGAGCCTCGCTCGCGAGCTTAGAGTCCACAAAATCCTGTGTCTGTTGCGAAATGGTTCATGTCCGTCGGGTGGTGAGCAAAAGGCACCGGCCCAAGCCGAAAGAGGCCAGAGCGCTTTAGGTGCCAAGGCCCTCTCTTCTGTAGCCAAGAATCCGGATCGGGTGACGGACGCTGTTGCTACTAGTGATCCCTGTGTTCACATTCTGCTCTGGTGTCTCGTAGTCATGATGGCGACCTTGAATTCCAATGGTTTCGTTGTGCCGACCCGGGAAATCCTAAAGCTGCCAGGTGGATCGAATCGGGCGCATTGGTGAGCTACGGCTTTTGAAGCTTCTCGTCGAGTCGGCCATGCACCGCTGGATGCACGCCTCTCTGGTTTGGCATGCATGGCAGGGGCGTCGGGAGGCCTCTCAGTGGCACATAACAAGGAACGATTGTTCGGTCTCGGGGCGGACAGGTGCGGATTTGAAGGACTTGGGATTCTCGTGAGTGCTTGGCCCGACAACAATTCCCATTGCCATGGACGCGAAGCGGAACGCTGGAATATCTCACTTTCACATGCAGCACGATCACTGTCGGCATTTTAGGCAACGCGTTCAACTTCGGTTTGTGTTTACGTGTAGGCCTGTGTGAATTCAGGTTCCAGTGCCAGCAGCACATATCACAGCTTCTCGCTGCTTGAACTTCCGTTGTTTGTCCCGTGCTTTGCTTCCTTGTTTTTGTTGCCGCTGTGCCGCCGACGCGTCCTGTGCTACGTCGCGGCCTTGTCTCCCTTGAAGAAAGGGCAGGGAGAGCTCTGCAACCACACCGTGCCCGAGTCCGGCGCTGAAGAGAGCCCGGTTTGATAGTGCTGTTTCAGTGGATGTCATTGCTCGTCCTGCGGTCAGCCGCCTGTTTACTTTAGGTCCCGATTTAGGCAGCAGGATGTTCAGACGCTTTTGCTCCCAAACTTCCTTCCAGAACAAGGGAGCGCTCCGGGTGGCAAATTTGTGAGTGTTGCTTTACCGATTTCTGGTACTGCTTCAGGTCGTGGTCGCATGCAGGACATGGAGGCATGCAAGCGGCGTCAGCTCGCAGAGCACTGGGCTGGGTTCGCCAAGGATATTGCAGGACAGTTCGTTTTTCCAAGAGCTCGAAGGTCGCGTGCCTGATGATGCCGATGTGCTGCGGCTCTTGGAGCTCCCTCGACATTGCAGGCTGGCGCAAACAGACAGGAGACGGTGCTTCGCCGGGTTAACAGTCGGGCGCGCCCAAGCGGCCAGCTCCTGGGTTTTATGAACAGCCTGGCCGAGGATGCGGTCGCCGATCGTGGGAAGCATAGAACTTCCAGCGCACGTAGCGTGGTTTCGGCGTTGTGTTTTGCGTCATTCGAGATTCAACTCCCCGGTGTGCAGCATTGCCTTGAAAGCCCCTTAGTGCAGACGTGTGGAGATCGGCAGACAAATGGGATAATCAGGCCATCTTGCGCTGGAGGGACGCACAGAGGATGACTGTGTCTAGTGTGATCGCAGATGCTGTGTCCATCCGCGGCTGGAGCTGGCGAACCAAATCCTCCACTTCTGGTATGGCGTGGGGGTGCTTGCGCGTTGGTTTCGTACATGTGTGGGGCGACGCGTTCTTATGCGGGGTCTCCACCCTCCCGCCGGAGCAAGATTTTTCTATTAGCAGATATTCGCAGGTTTGAGTGGGAAGCCGTTACTGGTCACATTGTAGCACAGCTCTTGGCCAGCTACGCAGATGCTTGGTTATAAATACCTATGCCGGAATCGAAGCTAACCAGTTGCATCTCCGGCCCTTTCTCCGCGCCACTCAAGGACACCATAAGCAGATAGCCGGTGTGTCGGGTGCCATCCATAAGTATGGGCGGGATGACGTCATCGGGCAAGGGCGATTCCAGAGCCGTGCGCGTGCAGCAGTGCGTAAGGGCTGGGTACCTTCGGTGCCACGTGCTCGAGGAGTTTGCTCACTGGGTGAGGCCAACCTGCTTTCGGTTGTGACAATACAGAGGCCGCGGTGACCAAAAGCGTCGGACACAGCACCTGAGTCAGAGGCGGAACAGCTGGAGGTGGAGGAGGCCTCTGACGCGCCTTCAGATCAGATTCTGATGCAGGAGAGGCAGCCGTTGGTGGCGACAAGCATGCCGGCCCCTGGATTCTCAATCTCCGGACTGGCTGGTTCCACAAGGCGGTCGGTCGTCCGAGAGGACGCAGATTCAGGTGATTGAGCCATCGCGTGCCGGCCTCGAGCAGTTCTTGGTTAATTTTGTGAAGCGCGAGAAGCCAACCCTTGGTTCCAGGGTCCGACGCCCTGTGTCATCGGGCTGCTGTAGCTGAGCGGAGTGGCAGGCCCAAGTGCCTGTTAAGTGTGCCAGTTGCTCTCGAGTCCATTGCAGTTTTACCAGTGCCATTGAGCGTTGGGTATTGCTTTCTCGAAGGCGTGTTCACATGTTGGTTCTTCTTGGCATAGAGGCTTTTCGGCATGCTGTGCTCGGACGAGTGTTTGTGCAAGCTGCAGTTGTTATCTCGAGCGAGTGTTCGAGTTTCGCCCCTCTTGGCACAGAGGCTTGGTTGGCGTGCCTCGACAGGCCTTCGGGCAACTGCATCATTTGTGCGGCTGTGAAACGACTTGCTTGTTTGGTGCTACCTGACATTGTGGCACATTGTACCTTAAGCTTGGCGTCCTCGTGTTCGGCTTAGCCATTTTTAGCCAGTGTGGTCACTGCTCGCTGATCGAGTATGTCCCGGTTTGCATCCATCTTGTTGTCTTGGGTGCCTTCTTTCTTGCTGCGATGGCACTGGAAGCTTGGCAGAAAGTGCTCAAGGAGGTTCTTGTGGCAGATGGTGTCGCCCAGAGTTTACAGGTCATGGGATATACGCACACCTGAGGCACCTGCGTCTACGTCTCTGGCGCTACCATCGCCAAGACAACTGGGCTTGCCCGTGCATGCCGCAGCCCTCAAGATCCGTCAAGCTGGATGTCGCTCAACGCGACAAGGTGCGGCGAGACTGGGAAGCCAAGTGCCAGCCTCCCATCCACGTCCTTTCTACACTTGGTGCAAAGCCAGGCGCAGAATAAGGCTTGGGAATGGATGCCCTGGCCACGAATCTTAAGCCAGCGGGCATCCGACATCGCTCTAAAGACTCCAGTGCCTGCTAACAGTCAGGGGTCACGCGTACACTATGTGTGCAGGTCACCTGGGTTCCTGCTCTCTTTACACACCTGCGTTTATGGAATTTCATGCCGCGTCCACGGACGAACACTTCCGTCCGCGAAATGTGTCAAAAGGCAGAGGATGCCGACCAACAGGCTCTGCGTGAGGTGGCTTCCTTTTGTTTCAGCGGCACCAACCTGGACGATGCCATTGCCAGTGTAGTCGTCGACCGTGCTTCGCCACTTGACCATGCTAGGCTAGGCAGGAATGTAAAGTATACTGCAGAGCCTCACAGGTGCTTCTATGCTCTAATGCTTGCTTTGGGGAGCTTATGTCTGGAGCAAAGAATGGCCTGCTACGTTTTCGCCTGGATTGTCGTACCGTCTTTGGCTACTTCTTCTTTGCTAGAAGCTGTCCTACATCTTCAATGTCCATGCAGCCATTATGAAGTCCTATACACCAGCTATCAAGCGCAAGGGTCGTGACAGCGGAGGTGGTGCAGATGCTGGTCAGCAGGAAAAGCCCAGGACCGGTGAGCAGAGTGGTTGCATTGACGGCGTGTGCAAGGACCCGAGTTGTCGCCATAAGCACCACTGCTCAAAATGCGGGGATCGCGACCATGACTGCCACAGCTGCCCCAACTGTATGCATAAGATGTGTTTAGTGGTTTGCGTCAGCAGTGGATGAAGCGAGTGCATGATTGCATGGGATCTGGTTCCTCGACTTCTGGGACATGTTGCGAAAGGCAGTGAAATCCCCCTAAATTTACGTTGTGATGATGAAGTCTCAGTCCTCGAGAAGATGTGCGTTTTTTCTGAGTAGCGAAAGTTTACACTTCTCCAGCTTCTCCACGACAATACCTACAGGTCAGCCATTTGCTACATCTTCTGCAACGCTTGCTATCTTTGTCCAGCCACGTGGACGCCGATCTTCCTGTGTTGCTGGAACGTGGCGGTCCGGCAGACATCCGTTCCGCTATTCTTGCTTCTGGCGTTTGGCACCCACTGGACGTGTCCGAGCGGCACCCCGTAGAAGAGTTGCTGACTTGTCAGTTTTGAGGTTTCTCCCTCTTCGCTGTTGTCGATGGCCAGGGCCAACGCGCAGTGGTTGATGTATACGGCTTGCCACTTCGGATCCACTTCGGTGGCACATGGTCGGCATGCTGGAGCAGAGCCGCGTCGACTTTCGTTCGCACTGGGCACAGTTATTTCGAGTGAGACATTTCCTGGCAGTATTCTTGGTGACAACTTCGAGGGCTTCTGCCTCGCTCCTCTGCGCCATTTGTTTGGCAGTGCCATTGGGTTTCCCACTAAAATGGAAGAAGTTGCGTCTGAGCATCTCGCTGAAGTGGATCGGGCGGGACATCCTTTTGGGACCTGCTTTTGCAAATGCTAGAGCCCTTGTGTGTGCCTTTAGCTCTCTTTGCTCGCGGGGATTTGGAGCGGTGCTTGGGTTTGCTGTGTTGGTTGACGTCAGCTTTGCCATCTTTGCGGCCTTGGTTACAAGATGTTACAAGCTTTGCTTCAAGTCCTCCACAAGCCAGCCAATATTCTGCGTTCACTGGATATGTCTCAGTTCTCGGCGCTACCAGCTGGTAGTCGCATGCATTGCTGCAGTGTCGTCGGGGTGGCGAGCTTTGGAGATTGACCACCGAGGGGTCTGTGCTGGGGGTCTGCGTGGCCCCGGCTCAGGAACAGTGTGGATCAAGTTTGGCAGCCCAGTTTCTTCCGAAGTGCAGGTCTCTCGTTCTTCCACCGTGACTTGGTGCAGCAGGTTGCTATCCAGCTCGTTGAGAGTGCAGGACCCAGAATTGTGGCAGCAACTGATGCATTCGCAGAGGGCAGCCGAGCCGTCATTGGTGGTTGGTGGATCCACCGCGATGCCGAGCTTTGCCCAGAGCACATCCACTGGTTCTCCTATCAGATTTCCAGGGAAGACTTGCCAGCTTGGTTTCAAGCAGAGGATCCAGAACCGGTCATCTGCGCACTAGAAGCTTCGGCCCAGCTAGTCCTGAGAAGTTTGTTTGGGGCATGTGCAGCTGGCGGCAAGGCAGCGATTGTGCTTTTGGGTGACAGACTGCAGGCAGGTGGATCAGCACTTGCCTGCGAGACTATATATGCTTTGCTGCTAGAAGGTGTTTGACCGCATTAGGCTAAACTGATGAATATCTCACGTGGAGTACGATCACTTTCGGCATTTTAGGCAATGCGTCCAATCTTGGTTTGTGTTTACGTGTAGGCCGGTGTGAGTTCAGGTTCCCGCCAACATCGCATATCACAGCTGCTCTGCTTGGCTTTCCCGCCCGCCCGCCCCAGATGGGGTAGGGTCGGGAGCACGCCGCGGGCGCCCTGAACTGCATTGCTGCCCATGTGCAGCCGTTTGGGGTGACAGATTGCAGGCAAGTGAGTCGGCACCTGCGTGCGAGACTATACAGACTATAAAGACTATAAATATGCTTTGCTGCCAAAAGGTGTTTATGCTAAAGTCATTTGGTTTGTTCTTGTACCAGATTCGGGGACACTCCGAAAAGACGTTGCCACAGAAACCCTGTATGCGCTCTGCTTGTGCCCCTTACAGTTCCGGGAAAAAGCAGCGTCAACATGAAGTTTGCACCCCCCCACTGCCAGGTACACCAACATGCGGGTGGTGGGCCAGGGGCAATTCGGAACTGCCAGTGCCTCAAATTTTGGGCTGTGCCTTCCAAACCCGAGAAGTGTCTACGTTTGCTCCGTCTTTGGCTAATGATCACCTGCTCCCCGACGGCAAGCGCCTCACATCAATCTTGATAGTTGCGTCAAGCCCTGGCTCCGTAACTGCAGGCACCCCTACGATTCTGCTAGGCAGCGCCCTATGCCCTATGCGGGTTACCATTATCAGCTCTTGCAGGTGATGCAGAGCGGCGTTACGCTGGGAAATCATGGTAACCTTCAGGCCTGGAATCTTGAAGTTGGTTTCGCTTCCTGTGCAGTTGGCGGTCGAGCGAAGCAGTGCTGACACCAACGATGGTTTTCTTTCGCGGTGCCCTGCAACAACCAGTGTTTTCGTTCTGGATCACGAGCCAATGTGCCTGTCAATGCCGTTCTACGGCTCAATGGTGTCACAGCTTGCTTTCCACTGCGCAGGTTGCCATCAAGCACATCCCGAAACAAACAAACATCCAGGACTTGCTTCTTAGCCGGCTGGCGGCGAGACATTCGCTGCCCGCTGCATGCAAGACTCGTCTAGCTGCCGGGGGGTTTCACAGGATCGTTGCGTTTTGGTCGATGTCTTCAACGAAATCACCTGCTTGGACACGGTGCGATTCGAGGAGCGCTGCCGGATGCTCTATCCTCCCGGTTCGCATAGGCCATATAGGCCCCTGTAGATTCGACTTTTCTATCTTGATGGGCCAGGCTCGGAAGATCAGATTCTCCACCGATGTAGACTTCCCAGTTGGGGAATGTTGAACATGTCCTTTGAGGACCACCTCTGTCAAATCTTCGACTTCGGTGTGGAAGAGTCTTGCTACTGGATTGTGATGAAGTGCCTTGCCTCAAAGCTCGGAACCAACGTGCTGTTGGCACACGTTGGGGCCATGGAATAGCTTCCGAGCTGTTTCTCGACTTTTCGGGCTTTCCACGACATGCCTTCCTTTTCCCAATGATGTTTGGCTTCGCCACGCATGGCATCTGTCAGCAAGCACCGTTGTTTCCGATGGTTTCACGAGGGGTTCGCCACTACCCGTCCAGAAGCAGAAACCAGTTGACAGATGCTTCGCTACTGAGGTGTTATGGCAGCACGTTGAAGAGGTGGCACGTGGGATCTGCACCGCTACGATGCAAGGGGATTTAGCAGGAAGAGGGGCACGCCTCCTTCTCGCATTGCCCAATCTGAAGCAGGTGGCGAGAGCAGCTGATTGGGCCAGCAACACAGAGACACACAGAGACACAGAGACTTCGTGTTTTCGGAGATCAGTTTCTGCCATATCCTCGTGTTTGCAAGGGCCTATGTGAGTCGTGCGGTCTTAGTGTTTTGGGTGTCAGAGGCGTCGCGCCGTGCACTCTGCAGTGCGGGAGTGGTGGCGAGTTTAGATGCCGGGTTTCGTGCTTGATTCTCTTACAGCAATCGGTGATTCGTGGATAGGCTTGCTTGCTGTAACATTCGCGGCTTTGCAGGTTTCGGGCGCAAGGCCGCAATGTCAAGGTTTTGCCGACAGTGTGGGGCCTTCCCGTCCGAACTGGCAGTTCAGTTTCGTAAAACGGGGAGAGAGCCGGATTGAGGTCGTAGCATATGACAACAGGTGGCACCCGTGCCAGCGCTAGGCATTGATGTAAAGAGTTAATCACCATCGTCATCTTCGTCATCGTCATCATCGTCATTAACATCATCAGCATCATCATCGTCATCTTCATCGTCATCATCATCATCATCATCATCACCAACATTCACTACTGTCGCTTTCATGACCCAAATCAAGCAGATCCATGAAAATGACCAGCACTGACTGCGATCACGATGTCACCATCAGTCACAAAGCAATAGTAATACATAGTAATAAGCACTGGTTGTTTGTTTATCTTGCAACCACAGGCCGTAGAATATAAAGGCGAGACAAGCTGCTAAGTTCAAGGACTGTGACTGATCATCTTCCGGTACTGCTGGCAATTTTCAAGCAGATCCTGGAGGCCGCTTCCTCCACCTTGATGCCTTGCAGCCTTGTAGTGCGAGGCGAGAGAGAAGTAGACTTTCCGGTCGCCCATTTTGTACAGGCTGTGGCCGTGCTGCACAAGCATGACATCGTCCACTATGATCTCAAGTGCGACAACATCATGATTGAATCAGCTCACAGGCGTGTGCCCCAGGAACTTCAGCAAGCTCCACAACACCATGCGGTAGCCTGGCTGTGCAAATCAATTGCGCGCTCTTGCAATCATGCAAGAGCATCGAGTGAACGGGAAGGCACTGCGAATGGCACGACCCAGCCCGAACATTGAAGTCAAGCTAAACCTGTAGCCACTTCCAAGTGACAGGTCCTCAAGTCCGGGCAGCGACATCGTCCCTTGCCAGCAAGCGCAAGCGACGCTGAGGGCGACGACTGCATCGAGAAGCTACATAGTGGCTTTTCAGGGCAGGTAGCTGCGTATCATGAGCTACGGAAGCGGCTGGCCGCATGGGGCTTGCATCTCCTGCTTCAGTCAACTCAGTGGCTGAATCCAGCCACCCGCGCAGCAGGACGATGGCACCGTTGCGGAGTTGGATGGCGCAGAAGAGGCATTGCTCTCGTTGATTTGCAGACCCAAGCTAGCCATGGGAAGTTTATGAGTAGATCGTGCCTCGACAGCCGCCCGAGGATTGAACCCCCCAAGCATGCACCATCATGCAACCATTCTCACCGATGATCTTGAAAAACAGTCGCACCCTCTTCCTGGTGTGGTTGCGGCATTTGTTGTGGTGTTGGTTGTGCTTGTGCTTGCGTTCACGGTTGCGGTCGCAGTTGCGGTTGCGGCTGTTGGTTGTTGGCTGTTGGCTGTTGACTGTTGGTAGTGGCTGCAGTGGCAATAGTAGTCGTAATTAGCAGGACTCGAACTAGTCGCAGTCGTGTTCGTAGTCGTAGTCGTTCTCGTAGTCGCGGCGGTAGTAGCAGTAGTAGTAGTAGTCGTCGTCGTCGTAGTAGTAGTAGTAGTAGTAGCACTAGTAGTAGTAGTAGCAGTAGTAGTA